ATGCGGCCTGCTGAGGGCACTGCCCATGCACTAGGCCCGGTGCAAAGACCAGGGCCCCAGAGCCTTTTGGAAGTAGGTGTGCCCTGCGTGACCAGCGCCATTCCGCACTCCTGAGTCTGGAGCACTGCATTCATCCAGGCACCTCACCCCCAGGCTGGGGCCACACCTGTTCTTTGAGAACCACAGGGGACTCGTCATCAAAAGGCCAGATCTTGTCTGTCTGCCTCTGGTTCACCAAACTCCTCCCCAAGCATAGGGCCCCTCTCCTCTGGTCACAGTGAACAAGCCCCAGCCCCTCCTGCTCTGACCAGGGAAGTGGGTTTGCACCAGGAGGGTGGTCTCCTCATTCTGGGGCCTCTCTGGATATCCCCAGTTCCTGTGTTCCCAGGAGTGCAGCAGCCCGCCTGCTGGTCTCATTCCTGGAGGAGGGAACGGAGGTGCCCAGCAAAGCCCCGGGGCGGCGGGGGGACTTCGCACAGGGCTCAGGACTTGGGCACCATGTCTCCTCCCCCCTTGGTTTGGTTCCTTCAGCCTGATTGGCCCTGTGCCTGCATTGCCTAATGTAGCCATCAGAGACTCCTTGAAAAAGGAAGTGGGCGAAGGCCAGCTGGGCCAGGGCGGCGCTTTCACTCGAGTTTCCAGGTCCAAAGACCTGGGGTGGGGTTGTGGAGGGGGAAGCCTCCGCTTGTGAGCAAGATGGAACGTGGAGACCCGCCAGTCTGAGGGCTGTGATCTCCAGAGCAGGGAGGACCCAGGTTGGGCCAAGGCTACTCTGCTGTGCAGAAAGGTGGGCTTCGTTGGTCAGAAGCTTCAGCTCTGAAGTCAGCCATCTTCCAAGCATTGTGACATCAGGATGCTGCAGCGTCCGACCCAGGGGACCTGCGCCCCGCTCCGGGAGGAAGGCCGGTCCACACCCGGGGGAGGCCGTATCTGTGGCCGTGGATGGCATTGTGCCTTTGTGCCCAGGGCCTCTGATGAGCTGAGTTAACAAGCTGTACCAGCCCCTAGGGTCTCGCCCCGGGCTGCTCCCTGATTCTGTCTGGGCTGTGATCGGGAACGGGGCCACTGGACACCTGAGGTTCTGCCCCAAGGGCTGACAGGGAACCCCCCCCTTTTTTTTTTTCAGTTGACGTTCTGCCATTTCCACCCTGGCCTCGAGCAGAATAAACCTTAGTGGGGACCGTGGGAGCTGGAGGGACCTTGTTCTCCTAAGAGGGAGGAGGCACATTCCAGCCGGGCACAGGCGCTCTTCCCAGTGGGCTGTTTAAAGCGAGGCTGGGGCCTGCCTCATGCCTGGTGCCCAGTATAACCAGCCGTCGTCAGGTGGCCATGCCGTCTGTTCCCCGGCCGTTGCTCTGTAGGGCGTCCCGGTCTGTAGTGTTCCCTGCTGCGACGTGGGGAGCGTGGGTGCTCTGAGGCTGGCTGCTGCTTGTCCCTTTTACTTTCACAGGCTTGGAGGGAGGAAGACAGGAAAGCCCAAGCGGGTACCGATGGTCGCGTGTGTCTTTCTGGTCTGTCTCGAGAAGATAGGAAGGTCACCCACTCTCCTTCCCAAACTGCTTCCTGCCAACGAACCGGGGAAATCCGAGTACGTCCCAGCCCTGTGCTCCGAAGTGCCTTGGTCGGAGGCAGCCCGAGCAAGCGGTTCCGGCGGCCCCAGGAAGGGAGAGCAGCCTTGGCTGCCTGCGTGGCCCTTCTTGGAGCCCGTGGAGGGTGCGCCGTGGCTGCAGCGGCAGCACATGGAGGGAGAAGTGAGCCGGGCAGAGGTGAAGGCTGGCAGAGCCGGAGGGACCAGGAAACGTTCCTTTGTGTGGCATCTTCCGGCACAGAGGACCTTGTGACAGAGCAGGCAGGCGTCCTGCGGGCTTGACAGCTGCCACTGGGTACTGAAGCTTCCCTGCTTCCTCCTGGCAAAACCGATACTCTGACCCCAGAGGCCCTTTGTGGAGGAGAGCAGGCAGCAGACCGGCCTGGGCGTGACTGATAAGTGGCGCACTGACAGCCCCCGGCCCCATCATTTTGTCATGTGGCTTGTAGCCACTCTTGCCCCGCCGGGCCCTGTCTTGTTTGGGAAACAGCCCTGAGGAGGCAAACCCATGGTTGTGGCAGATTTGCAGGGTCCAGAGGCCTGACCACTAAGGCGGAGGTGTCCACCGGGCACTGCGTCAAGCCTTCAGACGATGCCCTTTTCTGCCTTGGTTCCAGGTTGCTGTGGGGAGTAGACATTTGAACCCAGAGCAGTCCTGCTTCCCTAACCTCGTGGGTTTTCCAGGACTAGAGGAGGCTTTCCTGCTGCTGGTGGTGGTACCCCCAGACCAAGGAGCTAGGTATCACCCCCCTATTCCAGCTCAGCGCCTGTGTGCAGGGGACCCCGACCCCCATGTCCTGTGGCTGCAGGGACTCTGCTCCCCACCCACCTGCCTTACAGATCTGAGCCGGCAGGGGTAGCCCCAGGCTCACCACCGCGCCCTCCCCTTTCCCAGCCCTGCCCGCTGCCTCCAGCACAGAACCAGCACTTGGCCCCTCTCTGCCATGCCTGGCTCATCGGTGCGGGGCTTTCAGTCTCCCCAGCCACCAACCCAGGCCAAGTCCCACAGCCCCTGAAGAGCCAAGAACACTTGGACTGATCCTTGATTTTCACTTTTCCCTGGATTGTTGTTTTTCTTTCTAAGTAGATACTAGCCTGTTTGCTTTGGGGGAAACATCTGGGGGGCGGGGAAGAGAGACTTTAACCCTAGTGTGGGGACAGGGAGGCCGGAAGAACAGGCAGCCTCGGTTCATGGGGCCCTGCCCAAGGGGGCTGCTCCTGGTGCTGCTCAAAGAGCCATTTTGGGCTCAGCATTCCAGTGACACGGCAGAGGGCCAAATGCCAGGCGGGTCCTCCACCGGCCTCACCACCATTGCCCTCTTCCCACCCACCCTGGGTTTAGAGTCAGGCCCTCGTGCTTCCGGAGCAGCATTCATGAAGGTTTGGGAGCTCACGGGATTCCAGTTGGGCCCAGGGAGGAGTACCTGGGTTTAACTCTGAGCTGAGAACACCTGGCAGTGAGCAGGCCAAGCCCCTCACAAGAGGTGGCGGCTGCCACGCTGATGCAGGACACAGATGGGCAGAGCTGCTGCAGGTCCCACCACATCCTGGGGGGCACGAACTGGCGGGGCAGACTCTGCCCCGAGCCACCTCCCCCGGGAGAAAGCAGGCACACCCAGGGCTCTGCATTGATTCTGGGGAAAAGGGAGGCTCAGTGGGCAGGCAGCTGTCCTCTCCCGAGCCAGGACAGTCAAATCCCCAGTTTAAGCCCCCTGAATAGAACAGGCTTAAACTAACTTGCCGAGTAAGCAGGCACTCGGGGCCCCGCTGCCTGCTTAGCAAGCAGGGAGGAAAGCACTTGGAGCAGAGAGCTGCAGCCTCGGCCCGTGTCCCTGCGGTGCCGGGCTCCCAGCAGTAGCAGGGAGAGCCCACGTTTAAACAGGCTGTCTGGAGACCGTGACCATGTTGCACCCCCGTGAGCCTCTCTGTTCGAGGTAGACGGTGGCTCTCAGGAGACCCTGCTGCCCCGCACCCCCCACCCCTCTCATCCGTGGCTGGCACCACTCACCTAGGAGCTCAGATCCCGGGGAGCCCAGCAGCCTCCTGGGCCTGTCCTCAGCCCAGCCACCACCTCTTCCTTCCTTCTCGAATGCCTCTTTCCTGACCCGCTGCTGGGTGCCTTCCTCAGAGCGTGTGGAACTCTGGCTGGTGACAGCCCGCTGCTGTCTCGGCCTCAGCTTTTCTGTTGTTGGTCGTCCTGGAGATCCAAGTGTCAAATTACACGGGGCGGCCACCGAAGTGAGGGAGGCAGTGCCACCTCCGCCCCTGCCCAGGCGAGGGAATCCCTGCTGGGACCTTGGGGGGATGGCTGGGACTCCCGCGTGCTGCCCTGCCCCTGGGAGGTCTGGCTCTGCGAGAGCCGCCTCTTCTGTTCCTCCTCTTCCTCTCTCTCCCTCCTGGCGGGTGTGTGCTAAGCCATCGTGGGCTGGGCCTGGGCTGGGAGGTGATAAACGAGGAGGTAGGCTCTCGGCTCTCTTGTTCCCTGGTGGAGATGCCCTGTGGGAGGCTTCACCTGAGCGGCAGAGTGGGGGGGGGAGAGAGAGAGAGAGGAGGAAGCAGGCTTCCTGATGAGCAGAGAGCCCAATGTGGGGCTCAATCCCAGGACCCTGGGATCATGACCTGAGCTGAAGGCAGAAGCTCTAACCCACTGAGCCACCCAGGCGCCCTGGTCTTTACCCTTTTATTTTCTTTGATTTGCCTATCTCCCTTTCTGTGTTGGGTTTCTGAATTGCCCAAATATGGGAGCTCCAGTAGTGTATATCACTCTGGAGGGTTATGAATGAGTCTTCTGTGTCTCGATGGCCTGAGGTCTCTCACCTTCCTTTGTTACTTTCCACCCAGAAGAGTATGGAACTATGTCTGTATACACATATGAGTGAGACACTCACTCATGGACACACATGTGCACTTTTGACAGGTTAGAAGATGCAGATGATAGAAAGCAAAATTGATCTAAACGGGCTGGGACATTGTCAGCATCTGCTCTGCACCTCTGGGTATATTTAAGGCCTGCAGATGGGCTGACAGAATCAGAAATGAGGAAGTGTGGCCATGCGGTTAAAAGCCATCCAGCATGAAGAGAAACAGAGTGATAGGAACAGTGCTTTGTGAGTTTCACAAGGTCTCAGGCTTTGAACTCAATGGTTTATGTGCATTCATTTCATTTTTGCAGTGTAAAATTTCATTTAGTGCCAACAGCTATGTTGTTAGGTAGTTGCCAGTTTTACAGGATGAACAGAGTCTCAGAGCCAGCCAAAGAGCCTGTGGTGATTCAGTGAGTCAGAAATAAGCCAGGACTGTCTGTCTCTAGACTCTGTGCTCTCAACCACTGCACCTCCTGTGAGAAGACCTTGGAGGTTGGGAGGAGGACGTTTATGGCTGGGAAATGCCCAGCGAGCCAAGGTGACATTGACCACCGGGTCCTTCCCTCAGTGAACTGTTTCCTTTGTTCCCTCAGGACCAAGTAGATCACTTGCTGGCTCTGAAGGTACGAGTGAGTTCCCTGAACTCTAAACTCTCAGCACAGGAGAAAAAGGAGCTGCTCTCTGATCTAGAGCGAGAAAAGCCAGAGACCAAACTTCTGTACATTACGCCAGAGATGGCGGCTTCGGCCTCTTTCCAGCCCACGCTGAACTCACTGGTGTCCCGTCACCTGCTCTCCTACCTGGTGGTGGACGAAGCTCATTGTGTTTCTCAGTGGGGGCACGACTTCCGTCCTGACTACTTGCGTCTGGGTACCCTCCGTTCCCGCCTGGCGCATGCCCCGTGTGTAGCTCTGACTGCCACAGCCACCCCGCAAGTCCGAGAGGATGTATTTGCTGCCCTGCACCTGAAGCCGCCAGTTGCCACCTTCAAGACTCCCTGCTTTCGGGCCAACCTGTTCTATGACGTGCAGTTCAAAGAGCTGCTTTCTGATCCCTACGGGAACCTGCGGGACTTCTGCCTTAAGGCTCTTGGACAGAAAGCTGGTAAAGGGGTGAGGAACCTATGGGGCTGACAGGAGAAAGAGCGAGAGCTTCTTTTAAAGGAGGCCACAGTAAAATGGACAGATTGTTCTGTTCTTAATGCTCACTCTCTTCCCATGTCTCCTCATTCAGTTGCTGTCCGGCTGCGGCATTGTCTACTGCAGGACCAGAGAGGCTTGCGAACAGCTGGCCACGGAGCTCAGTTACAGGGGACTGAGTGCCAAGGCTTACCATGCAGGTGAGGGGCGCCTGGGCCGAGGGGTCTGCCTCCATCTCAGAAGCCTCTCCGTGGGCCTCTTGTTCTTTAAGGATCCTGGATGCTCAGATGGTCTGTCCTCTTTTTCCGGATACTCAGGCAGAGCTAAAGCGATTCCCTTACATTCATAAAAAGGAGTGTAGACACAAATGAGATCTAAAAGGAGAACTATGACTCCTGAATTCTTTTTCTCACCCTGCACCTTTCCAGCAGCAGGTGAGGAGTTTTTAGAAGTCCAGGTACTGGTGGTATGGAAAGAGCACAGGTTTTGGAGGCCAGTGGACTTGGGTTTGAATCTGGGCTTTGATGCTTATTGAGTGCTCTGTGCTCCACGCAGTCCAGGGTCTTTGAGGTGAAGTGCATGGCCCAAGGCCATACAGCTGGTAAGTGATGGATTCCAGGTGTGCGTATAGCGCCCAATACAGTAACAAACCCGAGGTAGATTCCAGGGGAAATACAGGCTCCCTTTGTCACCTTCCCCTCCATCACAGGGCTGAAGGCTTCCGAAAGAACACTGGTGCAGAATGAGTGGATGGAGGAGAAGGTCCCTGTCATTGTTGCAACCATTAGTTTTGGGATGGGAGTGGACAAAGCCAATGTCAGGTGAGTGATGGTTCTTGCCTTCCCTATCCAGTTGGGCCCTGACTCAAGTGGGCTGCCTAGTGTTCTGCCTCAAGGACCAAGTGCACATGGTCCTTCTAGGGCCAGAGGGGAAGGAGGCCGCAGGAGAGAATCCTCAGTGCATAGCCCACTTGGTGACGGGTGCTGTGCAGCCCACTCTCCAGTGACTGTGCAGCAGGTTCTGCCATCCCCCAGTAGAGGGCAGCATGCAGCCATCGGGCCCATCCATTAACGCAGCCCAGTTCCCTCACTGAAGCGGACTATCTGAAAATGCTCCCTGTGGAAAATCAAAGGCAGTGGCTTGTTACCCAGCATTCCTTGTTACTGCTTACTGACAATCTAGAAGAGACGGGTACATCCCAGCCTGCTAGACCCACCCTGGCAACTGCTGGGAAGTCTTTTACCTCTAGCCCCACCTAACATTCCAGAGACATTTTCAGCTACCGCCGGAAGCCCTTTGCTTTGATTAACACCAACAATAATGCCTTGTATGATTTACAGAGCACTTTTGCATACATGGTCTCGTTAAGACTCACAGGGAAGCTGGGTTGGTCAGGGGAGGAATGAGTCTATGTGCTTACATTTAAGAGAACACAGACTTTGGAAGCAGAGTTTGGACCCTGCATTGGCTGTGGCTTGTTAGGGCCAACTTTACTCTGCCAGCCCCAGGCCCAAATCCTAGCTCTGCTGTCCCCTTGCTATGTCACCTTGTACACATTTTCCTGAATCATTTCATTGTCTGTAAAATGGAGTTATCTCACCTGATAGTAATTGTAAAATTAAATGAGACAAATACATAAACTGGCCCATAGTAGGTATTTAATAATGTTATCTCTCCCTCTCTTCCATGAGGGTGAAGGGATTTACTCGAGGTTATACAACTCCTTACTGGCCTTACCTTCTTTCTTTAAGCCCAGTGCTTTTTCCTCTGGGCCATGACTGTGAGAGTTTTTGGTTTCTCATATGGACTGAATTGCCCCCTTTAATTCTGCTGTGGCCTTTAACTTGGGCCGCTCGATGGCAGGAAGGCCTACTGATTGGGTGCGGGGGTCTTGGCCACATTTATTCTGAAACCTGCTAACCTCCCTGCTCTTGATGACCACTGAGAACCCTGTTTCCCTGATTCTGATCACTCCTCCCCTCAGCTCTTCTGCCACAACTCACGCTGCTTGTCCCTTTGGATCCTTCAGGTTTGTCGCTCACTGGAATATTGCCAAGTCTATGGCTGGGTACTACCAAGAGTCTGGCCGGGCAGGCAGGGACGGGAAGCCTTCCTGGTGCCGTCTCTATTACTCCAGGAACGACCGGGACCAAGTCAGTTTCCTGATCAGGAAGGAAGTAGCAAAACTCCAGGTAAATCTGGGCAGCAGGACCCCTTTCTGTCCAACCCCCTCCACTCTCCAGTTTCACACATCTTATTTCTGAACCCAGATGGAGCTCCTGTTAGCTACAGGGGTGCTCCTAGGGCTAGGAGGTATAGCGGTGGGGGAAATGGTATGCTGGTGAATATGGAGCTTGCAGCCACGAGGTTAGACTCTTTCCCTTACATTTGGTGTGTCTTAGTGCGATCTCTTGTAGGCCTTTTATTTTACATAGCCAAGATCAATCCTGCCTTGTGGTTTTTTCGGTTTTGTTTTGTTTGGGTGGAGAGAGAGATGGAGAGAGAATCTTAAGCAGGCTCCACAACCCTGAGATCATGACCTGAGCCAAAATCGAGAGTCAGACACTCAACCAACTGAGCCATCCAGGAGTCCCAATCCTACCTTGTTTTAATTAGCTTTGTTACATAAGCATTTTCCCATATTGTTGAAAGTTCTTTGTTTTGTTTTCAGCCTTTTTTTTTTTTTTAACTGGTTGTACTTGCTTTGCAGAGAGCCTAGAAATAGACCCAAGTATGTAAATGAACTAGATATTTGATAGGTGACATTATAAATCAACAGGAAAAGGGTGCAGTGTTGAATAATTGGTGCTGGAAAAAGATAAAGTCAGATACCTGCCTCCTGTACCATACACATGTGAATTATAGGTGGAGTAAAAACCTCAAAAAAGTAATATTGAAGAAAAATATTTTGTTTCCTTGACAAAGAGAAGAGCATGTCAAGATTTTAAAAGTGGAAACTACGAAGGAAGGCATGATCTATTTGACTAAATTCAAACTAAAAATTTTCATATGACAGAAGACACCGTAAACAAGATGGAGAAATGAGCCATTGCTGGGGAAGGTATTTGCAATATACATGATTGACTGCATACGTAGAGAACTAACTCCGGCAGGTCAGTCTATAAAAGGCAGACAGCTGCAGAGCAAGAAGTATGAATTTCACAGAAGAGGGAACCAGCATATCTAATAAAGCTATGACGAGTTGCTCAGCCTCCCTTGGGAATCAGAGAAATGTAGAGGAGGTCATGAGCTGTCACTTCATACAGGTCATACTGGCAACAGTATACAACATGTTTACAGTCACTGTTGGTGAGGATGTGGTGAAAGGGGAACTCACGGTGGTGTCAGGAACATGACCTGATATGACTGCTTTGAAGAGAGACAAGGAATGGAAAGGTGCTGGGGCTCTGTGATTCGGTATTTCCCCTTCTAGATAAACAAGTTGTCATGTGTATGGAGATGCACGGAGATGTTTGCTGCAGCTCGGTCATAATGAACTCTTTGCGTGTAGGGTATTGGATAAGTAAACAGTGGGTTAGTCACATGGTGGAATGGTCTGAAGCAGTTAAAAATGACACAGTAAATCTACATTAACCAACATGGATAAAGTCCCCCAAAGCGTAATTTGTGAAGTTGTAAATGGATACATGCAGACTTTTCCATATAAGAAATAATGCTAAAATAGAGAAATATTGTACACAAGCACTTACATCTGATCTTTACCAAAATGACATTAAAAGGACAAAAAAATATATAAACCCACAAGGACAGAAAGAATAGAAAACAAGGTAGAAATGTCAACAAATGTCTGCCCAGAAAACCCCAGACTCTACTGGAAATCTGTTGGCATTCATAAGAAAACCTGGTAAGGTGGCTGAATATAAGGGAAATATTTTATTTTTTATTTAGTTTTAATTTTTATTTTTTAAAATATTTTATTTATATATTTGACAGACAGAGATCACAAGTAGGCAGAAAGACAGGCAGAGAGAGGGGGAGGAAGCAGGCTCCCTGCTGAGCAGAGAGCCCGATGTGGGGCTCGATCCCAGGACCCTGAGACCACGACCCGAGCCGAAGGCAGACACCCAACTGACCGAGCCACCCAGGCACCTATAAGGGAAATATTTTAAAAAGCCTAACTTTTCTCCACATGACCATGAATACCTAGGAATGGAAATGAAAAAAATACTTAAGAGTAAAACTTATAGAATATCTAGACATAGACGTTACTGCCTTTAAAGAGATGTAAAAAAACCAAAAATTCTCCCCAGTTGGTTTTAACATGCAGCCAGGCATGAGAACTACTGATTTAGATCAAGAAAATTAATATCTTGTGGAAAGAAAACAAGCTCTGAGTAGGTACAAAAACTGAGTGGGAAGACATAAAACTGTCAGTTCACCTCAGAGTTAATATAAATGAAGTTCCGGTTGAAATCCCAAAAGACCTCTCCCAGGAAGTGGAGTCTTAGGACTTACGTGAAAGAATAAGTGCCCAAGAACAGCCAGGAAAAGTCTGAGCGGGAAGAATGGTGAAGAGGACGAGCTCAACCCGGTGTCAGAATGTGCTGGGGTGTTGCCGTACCCAAATCCTTGTACTACAGCAATAAGCAGTGGCCCAGACAAGGGAATTAGAAATAAGGCCCAGATCATATGAGAGTTTAATATGGATGAAGCCAAACCTTCCATTTAATGGAAAATGAAGGGAGTGTCTGAGAGGTGGCGCGGGCATCCTTCTGGAATAAGATGAAAGTACCCCATTTGGCGCTTTATATATAGAAGACAGATCGAGGACCTACATGTGAAAAACAATGTCTTGCAAGACATTTGATTCCAGTGTATAACCCAGGGCTTGAAATAGTTTTGTAATGCAAATCAGAAATTCAGAAAGCTATCTTTTTTTTTTTTTTTAAAGATTTTATTTATTTGTTAGAGAGAGCGCGCGTGGGAGCACAGGCAGACAGAGTGTCAGGCAGAGGCAGAGGGAGAAGCAGGCTCCCTGCCGAGCAAGGAGCCCGATGTGGGACTCCATCCCAGGACCCTGGGATCATGACCTGAGCCGAAGGCAGCTGCGTAACCAACTGAGCCACCCAGGCGTCCCGAAAGCTATCTTTTTAAAAAAATGAGTATTTGAATTAAAGTTCTTGAACTTTTTTGGGGGGAGGAGAGCAGCGAAGCAAGGTTTATTGAGTGATAGCAAAGTGATAGTACAAAGCTCCCAGGGAGGGAGGGGACCCGAGGGGGTCGCCGCTGGAGTTTCTAAATCTAGGGGTTTTTATAGGCTTGTTGTTGGGCTGTTTTAATCTGATTAATCCTCCCTGGGCCTGTCACCCAATCAGGTGTTTGTCGTCTGTCATATGGATAGGGTGGAGGGCTCCTTCCAAGGTAGTGTAAAATCCTTTTATTTTTTTATTTTTTTAAAGATTTTATTTATTTATTTGACAGAGATCACAAGTAGGCAGAGAGGCAGACAGAGAGAGAGAGGGGGAAGCAGGCTCCCTGCTGAGCAGAGAGCCCGATGTGGGGCTCGATGCCAGGACCCTGGGATCATGACCTGAACCAAAAGCAGAAGCTTTAACCCACTGAGCCACCCAGGCGCCCCTGTAAAATCCTTTTAAAGATGGTTTCCTCTTCGGGTGGCAGCCCCAAGTTCTTGAACTTCTAAAATCCTGAACCCATGAAAAGAATGTAGGCAGCAAAAGATACCATAAACAAAGCCAGCATATAAACAGCAAATCTGGAAAACTGGTTATGCAGAAGGCAAACCAGAGGTTGAAGTTGAGGGTACATGGAGAGATTTCGACAACTGACAGGAAAAAGCAAAGTACGTGAAAGCAAGTTCCCAGAAAAGCTCGTTCAGACGGCACGTCAAAGACTTTTCAAATTCAGTGGTAATCAGGTGAGTGCAAATTACAGCAGAATGACTCACATGACACACGCACCAAAGGGCTCTAACACTCGTGGCTAGTGAGCACACGCAGGAGAGGGCCTGCACTTTGCCTGGAATAGTTGCAGTCTTTTTGCGGGGAAGCATTCTAGCAATATCTATTGTGCTTTATATTTTTATTTTTTTTAAGATATCTGAGGGGTGCCTGGGTGGTTCAGTCATTAAGCGTCTGCTTCCGGCTCAGGTCCTGATCCCAGGGTCTTGAGATCGAGCCCCGAATTGGGCTCCCTGCTTAGTGGGAACCCTGCTTCTCCCTCTCCCACTCCCCCTGCTTGTGTTCCCTCTCTCACCATCTCTCTCTCTCTGTCAAATAAATACATTTAAAAAATCTTAATAAAAAGATATTTAAGAGAGAGCGAGAGCTTGGGGAGGGGCAGAGAGAGAGGGATAAGGAGACTGTGTGCTGAGTGCAGGGCTTGATCCCAGGACCCTGAGATCAAGAGTCAGATGCTCAACCTACTGAGCCATCCAGGCTCCCTCCATTATGCTTTAATATACAGGTACCCTTTGCCCCAGATACTGTATTTCTGGGACCGAATCACCTGGAATAAAAGCTCATGTGCTGGAGGGCCTGTGTGGTAAAATTGGTCACGGGGACTGACACTGGAACAACTAAACACTTGGCCATGAGCAGTGATAAAATTACAGCACGTGCTCACCATGGGGCTGGTAGGCATAACTGAGCGCCCGAGGGCTCTTCTCTTGCTTTTTGAAAAAGAAATCATGTTTATTAATGTGTGACATTAGAGGTTTGCTTATTCCCTGTCTGCTCTGTTGAAATGTAAGTTCCATGAGAGCAGGGACCTCTTGTTTCTTATGGATCTGTGACGGCCAGAGCAGTGCCCGGAATATAGTAAATGCTTAATGGTGTTTTCGAACGGGTGGGGGACGTGAGTAAAAGTTGGGATGGGGAAGGAAGGGGCCTTGTGTGGACCTGGTATTTGCCAGGAATGAAGGGCACCTATTAACTGATTCCCCTGCACCTTTTTTTTTTAAACTGATCCCTTTTATCTGAAATCTAAATTAGACAACAGATTTTGGTAAGGTGATGAGGTATAGTATATATATTTAAAACTTACACAGTGGTTTATAAGAGCTCGAGCTAGGCTTATCAGGAAGACACGTGAGACAGAGAAGATCCAGAGCCTCCAGAGGGGTGGTATGTGGAGTGCTGGGAGCCAGAATAGCACCGGTTTTCTCCGTCATAATATCAGAAAGGAGAAACAATAAAGCAGTGCCTTCCAATTCTAGATAAACCGTTTCCAACGTAGAATTTCCAACCCAGCCAGCCAGTTAAGTTTGAGGCGGTTTAAAGACATTTACAGCTTCCGGTTTGCTAAGCAGAGGTTGGATGTCGGAAGTGTTGGTCTTTACAGGCTCTGGGAGCGGAAGGGTGTTGCTGGCGGCGGCGGGGCGGTAGACCGAAGTGCTCATGTTCTCCCAGCTGTGCAGGGGTTTAATCGCCATGTCCAGTGAAGAGCAAAGATCAGGACTACCAAGAAGCATCCCCAGTGCTCAACATCCAGTGTTTTCCCCTTGTTTGGCCGGTCACAGAGTCAGGAATTCAAAGAGGCTTTCAGCACGATGGGTCAGAACAGAGAGGGTTTCACTGACAAGGAAGATTGCGTGATATGCTTGCCTCCCCGGGGAGGAGTCCAGCTGGTGTGTATCTGGATGCTCTGTGATGAATGAGCCTCCGGGCCCATAGATTTCACCGTGTTTCTCACTGTGTTTGGCGAAAAGCTAAGTGACACAGATCGGAAGGTGTCCTCAGAAATGCTTTTGCTTGCTTTGATGGAGAAGCAACGGGCACCATCCGGGGAGATTTCCCGAGAGCCACAGACAGCGTTGGGAGGCCGGCTTACGGGAAGTGGGTGAGCTGTGCAGAGAAGCGTCTGGACAGAAAGGGAAATTTCAGTTCGTGTGCCTCCGTAGACATGGAGCAAAAGACAGAGATGACTCAAAAGAAGTTCAGATTCCAGCCAGACGTTCCAACCACTGGGGTATTTCTGAGACTCTCTTAGACCCTGTTGCGTGCTCTTAGCTTTGCAGCTTTTGTCTTTCTCGTATTGATTCTCAGCCATTTGGGGCACGTGTGTCTCTGTAATCACAGGAGGGGGCATGTTTTACGATTTTCAGAATAGAAAATAGGGCAGTTTGGGGCACCCGGGTGGCTCAGTGGGGTTGAGCCTCTGCCTTCGGCTCAGGTCACGGTCTCAGGGTCCTGGGATCGAGCCCCGCATCGGGCTCTCTGCTCAGTGGGGAGCCTGCTTCCCCCCTTCTCTCTCTGCCTGCCTCTGCCTACTTGTGATCTCTGTCTGTCAAATAAATAAATAAAATCTTAAAAAAAAAAAAATAGGGCAGTTTAACTTACCAGCCCCCTCCCTCCAAATAATTTCAGTCTACAGAGAGTCAGTACAGTTTTTCAGAGAAAGTTATTTACTCAGTTTTTTTCTGAACATAATTAAACTTTATGGTTTAAAAAAAGACATTTTCAGACGCAAGATATCAAGAAACTCCCTCCTGTGGAGAAGCTACTAAAGTATGTCCCCCATGAGGGAGGTAGTAATCAGTAAGGGGAAGATAGAGATCTGACCTGAGTCAGGCAAAGGAATGTCCTGGGCGCCATAGAAGGTTCATCTCAGTTGTGTGCCAGGCCCAGGGAGGGGCAGTTCAAGTTGAACCAGGGGGACAGAAGGCTCCAGGGGGAGGTTTCTAAAAATATAAGTGGAACCTGCCATGTTTGGCCCCTGTTGACATCAATTTTTCATTATATCACAGCATTTGGTGGTGAAGTAGTAATACACTAACATTTTTTTTTTAAGATTTTATTTTTTTATTTGACAGAGAGATCACAAGTAGGCAGAGAAGCAGAGACAGAGAGAGGAGGAAGCAGGCTCCCCACAGAATAGAGAGCCCGATGTGGGGCTCGATCCCAGGACCCTGAGATCATGACCTGAGCTGAAGGCAGAGGCTCAACCCACTAAGCCACCCAGGCGCCCCTGAAATACACTAAAATTTAAGTGAAAAAAAAAAAAAAAGCTATTAATTTTGGGAGAACAAAGTTGTACAAGAAAGGATATGTGATCATAAGAAATGTAAAAAAGTAGCCACATGGTTTAGCCGTGAATGATGTTGCTGCTGTTTCCTCACCATAAGCTGAATTACAATTTCAGAAGAAATTGTGATATAAACAGATTGGCAGAATGAGGGGAGAGAGAGAAGGTGTATTTATGTGTATTTAGAAGTTGGGGATGATTGATTCATTCACCTTCCAGAAGCAGGAGGTTAGTAGATGAGATCTCAGGTATCAGTGTCCGTTATATTTTTATTCCTTTTCTGTATTGTTTTCTGTATTTTTTATTTTGCTCAGCCACCATATAGTACAGCATTAGTTTTTGGTGTAGTGCTCAGTGATTCATCAGTTATGTATAACACCCAGTGCTCATCCCAGCACGTGCCCTCCTTAATACCCATCACCCTGTTACTCCCCACCCCCCACCTCTGAAGCCCTCAGTTTGTTTCCCAGGGTCCATAGGCTCTCATGGTTCGTCTCTCTCTCTGATTCCCTCCTTCAGATTTCCCTCCCTTCCCTTATGGTCCTCTGTTCTGTTGCTTATGTTTTACATGTGAGTGAAACCATATGGTAATTGTCTTTCTCTGCTTGACTGATTCACTTAGCATAATCCCCTCCAGTTCATCCACACCAATGTAAATGGTGGGCATTCATCTTTGTTGATGGCTGAGTAATATTCCATTGTGTATGTGGACCACATCTTCTTTATCTATTCATCTGTTGAAGGGCATCTCAGCTCCTTCTATAGTTTGGCTGTTGTGGACATTGTTGCTGTGAACATTGGGGTACATGTGCCCCTTCTTTTCACTGCATCTGTATCTTTGGGGTAAGTACCTAGTAGTGCAATTGCTGGGTCGTAGGGTAGCTGTTTTTTAACGTCTTGAGAAACCTCCACACTGTTTTCCAGAGTGGCTGCACCAGCTTGCATTCCCACCAGCATTGTAAGAGGCTTCCCCTTTCTCCACATCCTCGCCAACATTTGTTGTTTCTTCTTTTTCTGTATTTTTAAATATTTCACAATTTTTTGAAACTTTGACAAAGACATGTACAAAAAGGCAAATAATGCATAATCCCAGCACTCAGAAGAAATCACTCCTCATATTGTAGTATGTATCCTGTAAACACAGAGGTACATGTGTTCCTGCAAATCTAAAGACGCTGGCACGTATATTTACTATTAAATTAGCCATATGATATTAGGGGACCTGGCTGGCTTAGTTGGTGGAGGACTCTTGATCTCAAGGTTGTAAGTTTGAGCCCCATGTTGGGGTTTTGGCATGAGAATCACCTGAGCAGCTTTTTGAAAATAAACTCCCCAAAGCTCTTGTTCTAGAAAGTTCAATTCAGTAGTCTGGGTATGGGCCCCAGCTCACTTTTTGAAAGTTATCCATGTGGGGGATGTCTGACTGGCTCAGTCAGTACAGCAGGTATCCCTTGAGCTTGGGGTTGTGAGTTCAAGCCCCTTGTTGGGTGTGGATGTTGCTTGGGAAAAAAAAAAATCTTTAAAAATATAAAATAAGGCAACCCCTTCAGGTCCCCGCCCTTCCTGGGAGCTTTGTACTATCATTTTGCTATCACCCAACAAACCTTGCTTTCCTGTCCACCAAAAAAATAAACAAAATTTAAAAGTAAAAAAATAAAGTTATCCAGGTGATTCTGATGCATGGTTTGGGGACACCATTTTATAAATGGCTTGCTTGCTGTCATTTGGTATTTTTGTCCCTCATCATCGTTTAGGCTGCAAGGTAATTGAACTATACCAGACTTTTGCTAAGTGGGCTTTTCTTGTCTCCAGGAAAAGAGAGGGAACAAAGCGTCTGATAAAGCTGCTATCCTGGCCTTTGATGCCCTGGTGACCTTCTGTGAAGAACTGGGGTGAGTGACTTATTTCACACGTGCAGCACTGTGTTAGTGAGGTCTTTCCTCCGCCAGCACCTGCCAGTTAACCAGCTGATGTAGGATAGCTGTTGGGCGACCAGGGCGCGCTCCCTGCCAAAGGCTCCTGCGTGGAGCGTTTCCCATCAGGCAGCCTGGACGTCAGTATCCTCGCCAGGAAGGCCCCAGAAACTAGCAGTGTGAAGACATTCAGTATTTTGGTGGTTGTCCATCTACCCCACTCCACCCACTTCTGGAGTAGCTGGTCCCATAGGTGACCTGTCAAGAGTCACGTTGTGGTCGTCATTTGACACTGAGCCGGACCACTGGCTTCAGCTGAGTAGGAATCACTTTTATCCTGGACTCAAAAAGAGCCGCGTGATCTACCTTATCTCTTGCGGGTGAATAATAAGCTTGGAGAGAAGTCAGCTTTTCTCGTGTAACACCAGCCCGCCCACTTGGAATCTCCTTCTCTGTTTCATCTGTATGTGCTGGTGGCAGAGGCTTGAAAGAGCCTGATGGCTGCTCAGTAGCAGGCGGGTTGTGGCAGGACAGGTTCAGGACACAAGGGACAGCCTGGATGATTCTGGACAAGCTGGGAGCATTTTGCATGCATGTGGCCCTTTGGTCTAAAAAAACTCACCTTGGCCAGACCCCACTGAACAACAGGGTGAGGTCGATGAGGCAGAAGTGATTGCTTCAGACTTAGAGATGAATAGGCTGATGCCCAGAGAGGTCACGGTCACCAAGCTCACAGTAGACAGACACCGCCAAGCCTGGGTCTCCCGAGTTTTAGTGACACGAGCCTTGCATATACACGTACCATCTTGGTTTTTGCACAATTGGATTTTTGAAGTCTGGAGCAGAGTAAGTAGACAGACCGGTACCTAGCGGATGTTTGGAGCGCTCCTCTAGAAACTGAGGTACTTATTTGGGCCATGTGTTTTGATTCCCACCCCCTCCTACTCACTGATGATTTGGTGGCTCCTCTGAGACTGAGTCTCTGGTCTGGTCTGTGTGGCCCGGCCATGCCCAGCAGAGGTGCTTGGCACCCTTGCCCAGAGCCGTCTTGACCCGAGCCCTTTTCAGGCACTAGTACTGGGCGTTGTTAAATTAGGCCCTCTCAGGCTCCTGGAGCAAAAGGCTGATAATGAGAGGGCCGCATGTCCTTGCTAATTGTCAGGGTCCCTTCTGCTGGAAATAACCCTGCCAGGTTCTTTTCTGGGATGAGTCTGAGGCCCCGGGGGACCGTCTAAAGGGTTAGCTCTGCCATATCCCTCTGGGCTGTGGCCACCCAGCAACAGGACAGATCCTGCTAGGGGCCCCTGCCTTCATTTCTCCTGCGTCCTGCTGAGGAGCTGGGGCCTCTCTGTGCTTCTGGGGGTCTCGGCATCAATGGGCCTCCTGCTGCGCCACATGCAGCCTCATCTCTCCTACCTCGTGTGCTACATTTGAGGGTTCTAGATTCCAGGACTGCCTGGGGTGGAAAAATCCGCTGTTGTGGCTGAATGTGAAATTGCTCTTTGGGTAAAAAAAGAAATGTTTCTTTATGGCGTAAATGGTTTATCGCCTATTCCCCACCAAATATTTGCTCTTTTTCTAAGAATAGTCCTGGTTTGTGGTATAGTGGAAGCAGCTGTTTGCTAAGGGAGGGCACCTGGCAGCCAGGGCCAGGCCCGTGTGGTGGCTTTGGCAGAGGCAGGCGCGTCTACAAAGATGGCGTTGTAGGGCGGTCTGGGGTGTGTGGGAGCTGTGGGACCCTGTGAGGGATACCTGGGCGTCTCTGGGACCAGTGGCAGAGACACTCAGGTCAGTATGGATGAGGTCAAGGCCGGGCATCCAGCGGTGCTCCTCTCTCCTCCATGTGCAGCTGTGTTCTCTGAGCCGTGGCCGTGACAAGCATTTGTTCACCCCTGGGGCGGTGCTCTCCATCTTTGAGCGTTAAAAAGAACTATCATTAGGTTGAAACAACTTCCATCTTTGAGGCTTCTGTACCTTGTCTGAGATAGAACAGCCTAGTGTTTGGGCCACAGCTGTACTGGGCGCTGTTGTTTGGGGACTGTGGTCTGGGGGAGCCGACAGCCCTCCTGACTATTGATTTGTTTGGTCATTTATTCGTTCATTCATTTATTCATCCAGCAAATATTGTTTGAAATGGACTGTGTGCCCGGCACGTTGGGAATGGGGTTACAGTGGTGAGCAGAGAGTGGGTTCAGCGGGGAAGACAGGCACTTATCAGATAATCACATTTGTTAATTAGTTAATTACACTAACACGTATGTATAATTTGCAGACTCTTAAAAGGGCTTTGAAGAAAAGGTCCATGGTGTTTTGAGAGTTGACAGGTGGGGCCCTTCTTGGCCCTCAGAAAGTCAGGTCATGACTCTTCACAGCGGCTGACCTTCCCCAGTGGAGGGAGCAAACCAAACACGATGGCAAACACGATGAGAAACAGGATTACGGTGATGAATAAGGTGATCACTGCCAGGCCCCCCTGGTCCCACGGATTCTGCCAGAAATCATCATTCCACATGAGCTTCCGGTTTGTCAGTTTGCCCACGTGAACCTGGAAGAGAGGGGATGGAGGCCCTGAATGCCGGGGCCTCTCCAAGGCCCTGTCGCAGGCGCTGCTGTCCACCCCCAACTTGATCCTCTGGAGCAGTCTCAGAGCAGCTGGCCCACCTCTGCAGGGACCTTGGGCTTGACACCCTGGTGTAAACAGGAGCTGTCCCATCCCTGAGATCGACTCAGCTCGAATCTAAAACACACCGCTACAAATCCTTGCTGTTTTCCCTGCCTCCACTGCATTGAGGTGAAGCATTGGAGTCGAGGAGTGGACTGACTCCAGCTGAGGCCTGGGTAGGTAGCTCCCCGGGGAGGCAGCTGGAAACAACGAGGTAGTCTTGAAGCAGCTCAGGCGGGCAGGGTGCGGGCCGGTGGCCAGTTGAGGGGAGTAGCAGCAAGAAGGAAGGAGTCACTACCTGATTCTGCTGGTAACACTCCCGAGTCCTACGGGCGGGCTGGTCAGGGTAATCCTGCAGGCCCCACACTTTGGGGGCCCGAGCCACACCCTGACTCAAAGCTGCAGCCGTTGGGAGGAAAAGGTGTTGGCATGGCCAAGTGGCCCTGACCGGACCTCACCGCTGTCACAGGAGCGGACAAAGGTGGGCTAGGACCTGTTGCCCAGCAACTGCCTTCCCCTTCTGCCTTTCATACTTACCCCTGCAGCTGCGTTCTGTCCTTTTTGTGATGTCGTTGTGGGGGCTGCTCAGGCGTCCTCGCCGAGAGAACTCAGGCTTGGGGTGAGGCGGGGAAGGACACGGATCCGGGACCCTTGCCTCAGGCCACCTGTCCGCCTTGCCTGTGGCTGGGTCCTGCCTCTCCTCTGGCTGCCAGCCTGTGGACTGGGAGGTCCCAGCCAGAGCGCAGGAAGCACCGGGCTGGAGCCGCACCTGGGTTGCTCTCTTCCTGCGGTGTTGGGGGCCTGGTGAATGGTTAACTAGCCCTGGCTGGCTGGCGCCTCCTTGAGCGAGTTTCTTTGTGGAGGTGTTTATCACCACTGAGGCCCCAGAGTCCTGCGGAGGCTACCTTCTCCCAGTGCCTTTGCTGGCCTCTCAGCTGCTTCACGTGGTCGGTTCATACCCACTGGTGTGATAGGGCAGCGAGGAAGCAGAAATGGAAACCTAGAGACCACCATTTATTCCTTACAAGTTAGGATTCAAGTGCCCAGTGTGGCCAGGAACCACACTAGGTACTTCATGTCCATTGTGAACCAAGGGAGGCAGGCCCTGCCCACCCGGAATTCCACTCTGTCGTGCTGGTCCTCAGCCCTGCTCATTAGAATCATCTGGGCCCTGCCTGGAATCACTTAGCTCAGTCCCTGAGCAGTCAGAGGAGCCTCGTGCTCTATAAAGCGGGCAGGGCAATGCTAACGTGCAGCCTGGGTTGGAGGAGGTGCATGATGAGCGAGTTCAGTGAAGTCCTTAACTGTCCTGGGCTCACCTGATGTTTCGAGTTTCCCTCCGTAAAACCTACTGACGCGTGCCCTTGGCTGCTGAATGCTCCCAGCCAGCAGGCTGGTCTCCAGCACAGTGGTCTCCTTCCTCCGTCGGTGGAGCTGGATACTTATCGGGGGTCAGCTGTTTGCTCCCAAACCTGTCTGTGGCACTTGTCCTTGTTATCGTAATGACATAATCGCACTTAATGTTACATAAAAGTGTGGAGCAACAGGAATCCCCGAAACCCCAGTTCTGCAGCTGGAGAGCAGGCACCCGAGTGAAGCCATCCGCTGAGAAGCAGCCTGGGGGCGTGTTTAAACCCAGCTGTGGGGTCGGCTGCAGGCTAAGCGCCGCTCTGTGCTGCCCCTCAAGGGGGTAGGGGCCGGGTGGGGGGAGTTGTTATAAGCACCTGTGACTACTTTGGAATGACTTTGGAATCACTCAGTATGTCTTTGAAAACAGATGTGGCAAGACAACTGGAAACATTTTGCAAAAATCCAGGATTTCACATGTTGATTTCTTTGTGGATGTCTTTAAGTTCTTGTTCTGCTTTATAGTTACCACAGTTAGCAAAGAGCCAATGTAGGAACTCTCTGGCCAGCAAACCCCACACTTGGAGGAAAGGCCTTGGCCCTACCGCAGAAAGACTGGCCAAGGAATTGTGCACGTGTGTGTTTCCATTTAAAATGAGATGTGGGGGGAGTCTTTTGGGTCGTGTACACAAAAGGGTCTTGAACCGACTTTTTAAATTAATTACTGACCCTGACCAGAAAATTCTACAGAAATGATTCTCATGAAGGGAACATGAAGGGAAGAGGTGGAGAATGCTGTTGGTGTGTGTGGTGTAGCCTGGCCTGGGGGCTGAGGGGATCCCCGGTAAGGCGTGAGGTTAGGTTGAGGCATGAAGACCACGGAAGGACTAGGGCACAGTGTTTCATGGCAGGCAGCCGGTCCTGAGGACAGTGAGGAAACTACTTTTGAGAACAAAATTATTTTGTTCTTAGTTTTTTGGTCTGGAAGTTGTGTTACCCACGAGCAACCATGTCGTGAAGATTTTTACTGTAGATTGCTCTTGAACTTAATGCTTGAGAAGAAGACAGATTTAGGAGAAAGAGTGTTTTATGTGCTCTCTGCCAGGTTTTGCTAATGAGATTTCTTGCGCCCGTGGCTCTATGGTGGTTTTTGGTAAGTCGTAATAGCTGGGAAAATGCACGGATCTTAAGTGTGGACCTTTGGAGGAAGTGAGAGGCTCCTGTGGAGATGAGGCCAGAGTCGGGAGACCTGACGAGTCTGGGAAGTCCGTGCAGTGGTGCGCACAGGCAGACTTGGGGGTGGCTCGTTCCAGGGGGCCTGGTGGCAGGAATGGAGACTGTGATGGCCAGATGTCCTTCGGGGCGCAGACAGCCTGCTTCCGTGGCCACTGTTGCTGCACCTCTGTTTGTCCTTTCCCACAATGGGGGGTCTTGCTGCTTCCTCTAACTGCCTCTTTCAGAGAAGCCCTGTGTTGGGAGTGTGTGGGGCCGCCCTCGTGCTGGAGCCAACCTGACTTGAGCTGAGTGGGACCAAAGCCCGCCCAGGAGCGCCGTGGGGAGCCTTTAGTGGTGAGCCTTTGGAGGCTCAGCGTGGGCCAGTTTGCTGCCAAGTGGGGAGGAGTCAGCCTTCCCAGCAGTGCCGGGATGGCATCTTACTTGGGCTCCGCAGTTAGGAGGAGGAGAATGCCAGAGAAACGGCCCGTGGTCCCCACCTCTTGGCAGCCAGACCACGGAGCCAGACTCTGCTAGCAAGGAGGCGCAGCCTCTGCTGCCTCAGGAAGGGCCGTTCTTCAGTACCGATGGGAACTTGCTTAAGGGAGAGTCACAAGGGGACTGGACTGCCCCACTGTTGTCCTTCCTGGGGCTCCTCCAGCTGTTGGGGCCCTCCCACCTGCCCTGTTTTCCTTCTGGGAGGGAGACCTAATTGGGCCCCACCCTAGCTCTACCTCTTGGGCTCCACCCACTCAGAGGGAGGTGATTTTAAGACAGTTTGGGGTGTGGGAGCTAAGATTGGTTGATGGAGGATAATGGGATGGGAGCCTCATCCATACTGCAGCTGGGAGGCCTCAGGGCCTGGGTGTGGTGAGCAGTGGTGAGCCCGAGTTCCTTCTGCAGTTGGGTGGGCTGGGCCCAGCAGCTGACTCTGCCATTTTTAGCTGGTTGAATTTAGGAGAGTGACCTAATGTCGCTAAGGCTCAACTTTGTCATCTCTTAAGTAGGGATAATAATGGTACCCATGGCACTGAGGCTGCTGTGATCACACAGAATCACCTGCATCAGAATGCTTTAGGCTTGGGGCGCCTGGGTGGCTCCGTCAGTTAAGCATCTGCCTTCGGCACAGGTCATGATCTCGGGGTCCTCACATCAAGCTCTCTGCTCAGCGGGGAGACTGCTTCTCACTCTCACTCTCTGTGCTCTCCCTCTCTCTCTCAAATAAAATGCATTTTTTTAAAAAATGCTTTAGGCAGTGGCCGAGCACACATAAGCCCTCAGGGAAGTTTAGCCAACCTGATCATCACCCGAGGCCTTCACCATCCTCCTCGTTACCACTGTTATTCTGAATCCTGTTCTTGTGGGATGGGTACCGCCTGGTTCTTGAATTTTTTTTCTTTTGTGTGGAAGGACTTCCTCTCTGGGTCTTCAACCTAAACCAAACCCGTCAGACAAGTCAGTGGACACCAGGAAGTGAAACCAGCCAGAGTTTCTCACACCTGCCTGCCAGCCGGAGATGGAGGGGAGCGGGGAGCAGGGAGCAGGGCCTGGCGTCCCTGATCCACTGTTTTCTAGGTAGACAGGGCTCCACCCCAGTGGCTCTGGGGGACCAGTGGGGATGGAGGGAGAGGTACCATGGAGAGCTTTTTGGTTCCCCCCAACCCTCATTCCTGGGTTGGTAGCTCTACCTGGGCTGTTCTGTGGAAGAGAAAGTAAACTGAAGGGAGGGAGATGGTGGTGGTAAATTGTGGCGGGGCCAGTCTTTAAAACGGGTCCACGTTGCTCTTGCTTAGAGGGGCGGGCAGATGGTGACGATGGCTCATCCCTCCACATGCCCAGCACTGTTCCGAGTGCTTGCTGTAGGTCATCTCCTTTCTCCTCACGAGCTCAGCCCAGAGGGCAGCTGCCGGGGTTAGCAGAGTCTCTGAAGGTAGGAAATGTGGCGTGGGGAGGTCGAATCACTAACGGGCATTCACGCAGCCGGGGAGTGGCGGCATGAGGATTGGCACCTGGACAGCCCGGCACACGATGGGGGGAGGACTGAGGGGTCGGGATGCAGGTTATGGACCACAGTAGGGGCCTGACCTCTTTTCTCTGACTCCAGAAGTGTGGGAAGACCCGGTGGCCTGAGCCCACTGGCGTGGGGTGTGCAGGCTACAGTAACTGGCGGCGGAAGCCGTGGGGCGGCATAAGCCGTGGGCGGCATTCCTGAGCCCAGCACCCGGGCAGGCGCTATGCCGTCACGGCAGCGGGGGCATCTGGAGCCGGAGCTCAGCAGCGCTGGTGCCGACGGGACTTTCACCCTCGCCCTTCCCCTGGCTCCCTCTCGCGTGGCATTCCTGCCTGCCTGTGTGTTTTTCCAGCTTTCACGGGCACAGGGAGTGCGGAGGCCCGGAAAGGACAGTCCCCGGCCACACCCCTGGGATCCTGGCGCATTGCCCTTCAGAAGCACAGTGCCCAGGCCAGGGAGTCTGATGCCGCAGAAACACATAACCAGAAAGCTTTTACTGGGAGAGAAACGGGCAAATACCGGAGCAGAATACTGACGCCGCCCCTCTGGTGGGAAGCTCGGGATCCAGTAGCTATGCACAAAGCCTCTCTTTGGCGTGGAGGCCCCGAGGGCCAGCTCCCCACAGGTGCGGGCTGTTCTCTGTCCGAGTATGGGGACCCTGCTTCTGTGTTTTGTTAAAAGGTGCAGATTGGGAAAGTTCCAGTTCACGTTTACTCAGTGTTTGAAACAGTTGACTCGTCCTCGGCGCCCCAGGATTCACCGGCAGGTCAGAGTTTGGGGGCTGTACCAGCGCTTGTTTCCTTGATGAGGCTGCAGGTGGCGGGTTCCTGGGCAGGGCCGGAGCTGGGGCCACGGGATTGCGGTCTGGTGCCCTGCGGGCCACAGGGCCAGGTGGCACCTGGGATCGTGGCTTCGGCAGCCTCCTCTCCAGCGTCTCGTCCTCATCTTCGTCTCTTACGGTGGGGTCATGGGCCGCACTTGGACCTTCCTGCCTCTGCGCTCAGGGCAGCAGCAGCAGCAGCAGGCTGGCAGCAGCAGCAGCAGCACGGTAGCTGGGAGGAGGAGACAGAAGCAGAGGGCTCTCAGAGAGAGAGAACACACACCCGACTTCCAAAGAAACCCCTCCGGAGGTGGCCGGCTCTTTGCCCAAAGATAGTCTGGTGAGAGGTGTCGGGGGTCCCCTTGCCAGCCACTGGGCCCGACCTCCCTATCGTGCCGCCTCTGCTGCCCACAGCTTCGCTCCCTCCATCCCGCGTCGCGATGCAGGGCTGCCTCTGGGCCCAGGTTCCAGCACCACCCCATCGCCGAAGCAGCTTGCCGAGGATTAGGGCAGTCCCTTGGCTCTCCCCCAAGGACATCCGCTTCTCCTCCTCTGTCTGGGGGACACCTAGCCAGCTCTCTGGCCAGCACCAAGGTCTCACCCGGATGCCAGGAACAGCCGGGGATACTGGGGAGAAAGCGAGAGCCCCAGCTTACCTGTGAAAAGGAGGATGACCGAGAAGGCCACGATCTCCACGGGCTCGGCCTGGGGTAGCCTCTGTAGCTTGAGCAGTAGCCTCTCACCCATGGAGCGCATCTCCTGCACGAAGCTGGCAACTGCCATGGTGCGCCGGCCTCCTGCGGGTGCCTGGCCGGCGTGCTGAGCAGTGAGTCCCCACCCACCTGCAGCCCGCAGAACGAGTTAGTCAGGTCTCACCCCTGCACCCCTGTGGCTCATGAGCAGGGAGGGAGCCTTTGGGGCCCTCCGCCCAGCACCCAGCCGTGGCCCTCAGCCCCCACCCCGCTGATACCACCTGTGGTGGGAGACGCTGGTGATGGCAGCCTGAGGCCCCGCCGCGGGGGCTTCCGGGCTCAGCCGGGCACAGGAGCAGTCTGTCAGCTTGCCGCGGTTGGCCAGGGTTCCCGACTTCGAGGTGGGGTGACTTCATGGTTACATTCCTTTGTCTCAGGCACCACACTCCTGGTTTTGCTGGGTGGGGGAGGCTCGGGCTGGCGTGGCTCCCCGGTGACCCCTGCGTCCTTCAGGACTTCAGGCGCCTTGCCTGGGTTCTCAGCGGGGAGACTGGGCTTTGGGACTCCAGCCTGGAGCTCTTGGTCCTGTCATATGTGGAGCAGGCACATGGGGGCTTCTAGCTAGGGTCAGCTCGAGGTCAGAGCTAACGGGGAGATGGTCCGAGTCCCTTTGGGGCCCCCTGCCCCTCCCACCAGCCCAGTTTCTTTACTCATAGGTGTTCTTTGAGGAGGAAGAGATGGCACTGTGTCCTCGCAGGTTTACCCAAGGAGGTCCTCTCAGGATGGGATCAGGCATCCCAGTGCTGGTTTACCAGCCCCTCCCCTGCTGGCTTAAACCAGGAGAGTCCCCTCTGCCCTTACCCCTGCCCCAGGTATGTGGCAACTCAGCCCTCTGGCCCCCTAACTGAGAGCCTTTCCTAAGGGTGCCCGGCAGGGTGCAGGGCAAGGTCCAGGCTGAGCCTGAGTGGGAGCGCACTCTACCTCAGTGTCTTTCCCCTTCAGTGGACATGAGGGACCCAGTAGCTCTTCAGAGATGGACCAGGGACAGCCTGTGCCAACCCAGCCTGAACTTGTTCACCTAAGGCGGCTCTGATCCAAGAGAGGGTAACAGGTGTCAGGGGCTCATGCCAGACCTGAGGATCTAATTACTGTTGCCTTGTCCTGGGCTATGGTCAGGTGGTTCTCCCGAGATGGCTGCAGTCTTGGAAGCTGGTCACTGCTGGGACTTCCGTCACAGTAGAGCCGTCTTAGAACTGCCTTGAAGGTCTTCTGCTTGAACTCTCTACCTTGTTCCTGGCCCCGTGCACTCCTTCTGGCCTGCAGCCTTCACCTGAGCCCCTCTCGGTGAGATGGGGCGGGGGGGGTCCCACCTGCTACGACAGCCTGCCCTCTTCCCTCTTGGAACAGTGCTGATCATTGGAAGTTGGGACCTCCTCCTGACCTTGCTGGTCCCGCCTGTGGTCACATAGGACACTTGTACCCCTCTTCTGCCTCGTGGGCCTTCGGGACCTGGACGGCAGCTGGCGGGTGTCTCCCATGTCCCCTCTTCCACAGGGTAACTGTCCTCATTTGGTCAGCTGCCCCATAGGGAACGTTGTTTTGATGCCATCTGACTCCTTCCTGCTTCCGTAACATGGATGCGTCTCTGTCTCTCTGAGTCTGTTTCTTTTCCTCATTTTATGTGAGAGGAGATGCCCATCTTTCGAGGCTGTTAGATTGATTCCTGGGAGCACAGCAGCGGCCAGCGCAGGTCCTGGCACACATGGGGGCCCCACACATGTGATTCCCCTCGGGTAGGGGGTTTGGCCACCATAGGAGCATCGAGGAAGCCTTTGGGGGCAGTCGTACCCCCTTGTATCCTGTCAGATAGGGTATCTATCTGGGGACCTTCATCTGTGTCCTGCATTCCCAGGATGTCTGCTGTGGGAGGTGAAGGCAGGTGGTGGGCTGGAGCCAGGAGCTGTGGTGTAAGTGACGTTGAGGGTAGCGGGCAGCCGAGGGGTCACGGGTTTCCTATTGGAAGTGGGAGGCTCCTGGAGTTAGATCCTCCTGTCTTCTCTCATGCCCCACCCCAGGGTCAGCATGTTTCTGCAAAGGAGATCAAGATCCCAGTTTCCAAGTGTCCTAAAGGGCACGGGATCCCAGAATGCCACAGGTCATCTAGCCCTGCTTCCCTTGCTCTACGGGGAACAGCTGGGATAGTAAGTGGTTCCTCTGTGGTTACGCAGCGGGAAGGGGAGCCTGGGCCCTCTATTACCCCATGCTGGCTCTCGTGGAAGCCTTTCCTAGGCGGCCTGCCCTCTGGCTGGCAGGTTAAGTCAGCTCCCAATGCGGCCTGCTGAGGGCACTGCCCATGCACTAGGCCCGGTGCAAAGACCAGGGCCCCAGAGCCTTTTGGAAGTAGGTGTGCCCTGCGTGACCAGCGCCATTCCGCACTCCTGAGTCTGGAGCACTGCATTCATCCAGGCACCTCACCCCCAGGCTGGGGCCACACCTGTTCTTTGAGAACCACAGGGGACTCGTCATCAAAAGGCCAGATCTTGTCTGTCTGCCTCTGGTTCACCAAACTCCTCCCCAAGCATAGGGCCCCTCTCCTCTGGTCACAGTGAACAAGCCCCAGCCCCTCCTGCTCTGACCAGGGAAGTGGGTTTGCACCAGGAGGGTGGTCTCCTCATTCTGGGGCCTCTCTGGATATCCCCAGTTCCTGTGTTCCCAGGAGTGCAGCAGCCCGCCTGCTGGTCTCATTCCTGGAGGAGGGAACGGAGGTGCCCAGCAAAGCCCCGGGGCGGCGGGGGGACTTCGCACAGGGCTCAGGACTTGGGCACCATGTCTCCTCCCCCCTTGGTTTGGTTCCTTCAGCCTGATTGGCCCTGTGCCTGCATTGCCTAATGTAGCCATCAGAGACTCCTTGAAAAAGGAAGCGGGCGAAGGCCAGCTGGGCCAGGGCGGCGCTTTCACTCGAGTTTCCAGGTCCAAAGACCTGGGGTGGGGTTGTGGAGGGGGAAGCCTCCGCTTGTGAGCAAGATGGAACGTGGAGACCCGCCAGTCTGAGGGCTGTGATCTCCAGAGCAGGGAGGACCCAGGTTGGGCCAAGGCTACTCTGCTGTGCAGAAAGGTGGGCTTCGTTGGTCAGAAGCTTCAGCTCTGAAGTCAGCCATCTTCCAAGCATTGTGACATCAGGATGCTGCAGCGTCCGACCCAGGGGACCTGCGCCCCGCTCCGGGAGGAAGGCCGGTCCACACCCGGGGGAGGCCGTATCTGTGGCCGTGGATGGCATTGTGCCTTTGTGCCCAGGGCCTCTGATGAGCTGAGTTAACAAGCTGTACCAGCCCCTAGGGTCTCGCCCCGGGCTGCTCCCTGATTCTGTCTGGGCTGTGATCGGGAACGGGGCCACTGGACACCTGAGGTTCTGCCCCAAGGGCTGACAGGGAACCCCCCCCTTTTTTTTTTTCAGTTGACGTTCTGCCATTTCCACCCTGGCCTCGAGCAGAATAAACCTTAGTGGGGACCGTGGGAGCTGGAGGGACCTTGTTCTCCTAAGAGGGAGGAGGCACATTCCAGCCGGGCACAGGCGCTCTTCCCAGTGGGCTGTTTAAAGCGAGGCTGGGGCCTGCCTCATGCCTGGTGCCCAGTATAACCAGCCGTCGTCAGGTGGCCATGCCGTCTGTTCCCCGGCCGTTGCTCTGTAGGGCGTCCCGGTCTGTAGTGTTCCCTGCTGCGACGTGGGGAGCGTGGGTGCTCTGAGGCTGGCTGCTGCTTGTCCCTTTTACTTTCACAGGCTTGGAGGGAGGAAGACAGGAAAGCCCAAGCGGGTACCGATGGTCGCGTGTGTCTTTCTGGTCTGTCTCGAGAAGATAGGAAGGTCACCCACTCTCCTTCCCAAACTGCTTCCTGCCAACGAACCGGGGAAATCCGAGTACGTCCCAGCCCTGTGCTCCGAAGTGCCTTGGTCGGAGGCAGCCCGAGCAAGCGGTTCCGGCGGCCCCAGGAAGGGAGAGCAGCCTTGGCTGCCTGCGTGGCCCTTCTTGGAGCCCGTGGAGGGTGCGCCGTGGCTGCAGCGGCAGCACATGGAGGGAGAAGTGAGCCGGGCAGAGGTGAAGGCTGGCAGAGCCGGAGGGACCAGGAAACGTTCCTTTGTGTGGCATCTTCCGGCACAGAGGACCTTGTGACAGAGCAGGCAGGCGTCCTGCGGGCTTGACAGCTGCCACTGGGTACTGAAGCTTCCCTGCTTCCTCCTGGCAAAACCGATACTCTGACCCCAGAGGCCCTTTGTGGAGGAGAGCAGGCAGCAGACCGGCCTGGGCGTGACTGATAAGTGGCGCACTGACAGCCCCCGGCCCCATCATTTTGTCATGTGGCTTGTAGCCACTCTTGCCCCGCCGGGCCCTGTCTTGTTTGGGAAACAGCCCTGAGGAGGCAAACCCATGGTTGTGGCAGATTTGCAGGGTCCAGAGGCCTGACCACTAAGGCGGAGGTGTCCACCGGGCACTGCGTCAAGCCTTCAGACGATGCCCTTTTCTGCCTTGGTTCCAGGTTGCTGTGGGGAGTAGACATTTGAACCCAGAGCAGTCCTGCTTCCCTAACCTCGTGGGTTTTCCAGGACTAGAGGAGGCTTTCCTGCTGCTGGTGGTGGTACCCCCAGACCAAGGAGCTAGGTATCACCCCCCTATTCCAGCTCAGCGCCTGTGTGCAGGGGACCCCGACCCCCATGTCCTGTGGCTGCAGGGACTCTGCTCCCCACCCACCTGCCTTACAGATCTGAGCCGGCAGGGGTAGCCCCAGGCTCACCACCGCGCCCTCCCCTTTCCCAGCCCTGCCCGCTGCCTCCAGCACAGAACCAGCACTTGGCCCCTCTCTGCCATGCCTGGCTCATCGGTGCGGGGCTTTCAGTCTCCCCAGCCACCAACCCAGGCCAAGTCCCACAGCCCCTGAAGAGCCAAGAACACTTGGACTGATCCTTGATTTTCACTTTTCCCTGGATTGTTGTTTTTCTTTCTAAGTAGATACTAGCCTGTTTGCTTTGGGGGAAACATCTGGGGGGCGGGGAAGAGAGACTTTAACCCTAGTGTGGGGACAGGGAGGCCGGAAGAACAGGCAGCCTCGGTTCATGGGGCCCTGCCCAAGGGGGCTGCTCCTGGTGCTGCTCAAAGAGCCATTTTGGGCTCAGCATTCCAGTGACACGGCAGAGGGCCAAATGCCAGGCGGGTCCTCCACCGGCCTCACCACCATTGCCCTCTTCCCACCCACCCTGGGTTTAGAGTCAGGCCCTCGTGCTTCCGGAGCAGCATTCATGAAGGTTTGGGAGCTCACGGGATTCCAGTTGGGCCCAGGGAGGAGTACCTGGGTTTAACTCTGAGCTGAGAACACCTGGCAGTGAGCAGGCCAAGCCCCTCACAAGAGGTGGCGGCTGCCACGCTGATGCAGGACACAGATGGGCAGAGCTGCTGCAGGTCCCACCACATCCTGGGGGGCACGAACTGGCGGGGCAGACTCTGCCCCGAGCCACCTCCCCCGGGAGAAAGCAGGCACACCCAGGGCTCTGCATTGATTCTGGGGAAAAGGGAGGCTCAGTGGGCAGGCAGCTGTCCTCTCCCGAGCCAGGACAGTCAAATCCCCAGTTTAAGCCCCCTGAATAGAACAGGCTTAAACTAACTTGCCGAGTAAGCAGGCACTCGGGGCCCCGCTGCCTGCTTAGCAAGCAGGGAGGAAAGCACTTGGAGCAGAGAGCTGCAGCCTCGGCCCGTGTCCCTGCGGTGCCGGGCTCCCAGCAGTAGCAGGGAGAGCCCACGTTTAAACAGGCTGTCTGGAGACCGTGACCATGTTGCACCCCCGTGAGCCTCTCTGTTCGAGGTAGACGGTGGCTCTCAGGAGACCCTGCTGCCCCGCACCCCCCACCCCTCTCATCCGTGGCTGGCACCACTCACCTAGGAGCTCAGATCCCGGGGAGCCCAGCAGCCTCCTGGGCCTGTCCTCAGCCCAGCCACCACCTCTTCCTTCCTTCTCGAATGCCTCTTTCCTGACCCGCTGCTGGGTGCCTTCCTCAGAGCGTGTGGAACTCTGGCTGGTGACAGCCCGCTGCTGTCTCGGCCTCAGCTTTTCTGTTGTTGGTCGTCCTGGAGATCCAAGTGTCAAATTACACGGGGCGGCCACCGAAGTGAGGGAGGCAGTGCCACCTCCGCCCCTGCCCAGGCGAGGGAATCCCTGCTGGGACCTTGGGGGGATGGCTGGGACTCCCGCGTGCTGCCCTGCCCCTGGGAGGTCTGGCTCTGCGAGAGCCGCCTCTTCTGTTCCTCCTCTTCCTCTCTCTCCCTCCTGGCGGGTGTGTGCTAAGCCATCGTGGGCTGGGCCTGGGCTGGGAGGTGATAAACGAGGAGGTAGGCTCTCGGCTCTCTTGTTCCCTGGTGGAGATGCCCTGTGGGAGGCTTCACCTGAGCGGCAGAGTGGGGGGGGGGGCACAGCGCTCCCAGCTCTTTGGTCCCCTCCCTCCCCTCAGGAATACTTTGGGCCCATCCCCCCAGCCCCCCCTCTGGCGACTCCCCAGCGGGTCCCACCCTTTGGCCCCTTCCAAGAAAGAAAGTGAATAGTGGGGGAGCTGCCGGCCCACCCACAAATCCAGCCCTCTGGGGAGGCATCTTGGGAAAGAACTTGGGGGTGACTTGAGAGTAGCCTGCTTGCCTGGGGGGCGGGGGGGTGCCTGGTGCCTGGTGTTCCCCAGCCCCGGGAGGAGGGAGGACCCTGCTGATGATCTGTCTTTCCGAAGCGTGTTTGCTGGTGTTTGCTGGGGCCGTCTCTGCACGCCTGGCCCCGGCCAGCAGGGACGGGCTCCAGAGCTCAGTGGCTGGCAGGGCCCTTGGACATTTGGTTGGTTGTGCCACCCCAGCAGCCGGGGCTGTGCCTGGAGCAGGATGGGAGCCGACCCCAGCCCGCATCTGTGCGCTCTCAATGGAGCCCTTTGAGTGTGAGCACAAAACCCCAGTGAGTCCGGGCTTGAGGGAGGGTGGGGGGAAGGAAGCCAACCGTGTAGCCACACCACTCGGATGCCAGAGGCTGGACAGGCGGCCACTGTGCAGATGCACAGACTAGCCATGGAGGGAGTCCCTCGGTGATTTAGGAGCGGCCGGAACAGTGCCCTCTGGTGGCCGCCCGGGCCACTGTGCCGTCCCCTGCCCCTGGAAGCTGCATTCTCGAGCGAGGCAGCCAGACCCCGCTTCCTAGGGCCTGTGGAACCATCCGCTCTTGCTCCGGTTCCTGCCTTTCAGGGCCTCAGCTCCTCAGAGTGTTTCTTGAAGTTCTAGGCGGTGCTCGCGTTGAGCGGCGTTCTGGTTAGAGAGTGACGCCCCCTATTCTTGTCCCCAGGATGTGGCGCCTGGACAGCCCTGCCTCTGCCGCCCCGTCTCTCAGGCTCCCCTACCCTGTGCCACATTCCCGCGGCAGGACTGGCCCTTGGCAAGGGTCCTGAGAGATCTGGGGCCCCTCCGGGGGCCTCTGCAGCTGCCCCAGGGACCAACTGTGCCCCCGTCCTGGGAGTCATAAGAGAGACCGCTGCAGTCTGGTGCCGCAGCAAGGGGGCTGCGGCAGGGTTGAGGCCCCGGAAGATGTGATGAGACCCCTTCCCAGGCTGGCCTCCTCACAGCCCTCACCAATGAGCAGCGCACGGCGCCGCCTCGCGGAGCTGCTCGTTTCTGCTCTCGGGCAGCCCCCGGCTCCGGGCTGCGTGTGCGGGCGGCCTCCTTGGGGACGAAGAAGGTCCACAAGAGATAGAAGCAAGGCAGAGTGCCGAGGCGGGGGTGGGGCCGCCTCCGTCCCCGGGCGCCGGCTGCCATCTCCCCCAGCCCTGCTCAGCCAGGGGAGCCGGTGCTCTTCCTGCACCATTCGACAGGCCAGAAGGTGTGGGCTTTGAGCCATCCAGTGCTTCCCCTAAAGAGGAGGCCTCAGCAGCAGAGTCAGCGTCTGTACCCAGGGCTGAAGCTGCTTCTGGGGCACCCCGCCGCCAGAGGGCGCGGTAGAGGCCAGGAGGCCAGGGCCTAGAGGAGCAACCTGTAGCAAAGCAGGACAGAATGGGGACCACACCCTGGCTCCACTGGGTATGTTCTATGACCTTGAGAAAGCTCCTTCACCTCATCCTTGCCATCTGTAAAATGGGTGACCAAATGATGCCTTCCCAGGCTTGGACAACATGAGGTGTGTGAGATACTGAGTGTGGAGCCCACATGTAGGACTCCTCAGCCAGAGTGTAGGGAGTGGGGGGATGAACGCTGGCCTGCCTGGGTCCCTCACCCCTGACCTCTGCTGTGCTGCCTCCGCCAGGTGCCGCCATGCTGCCATTGCCAAGTACTTTGGGGATGCGCCCCCTGCCTGCACCAAGGGCTGTGACCACTGCCGGGACCCTGTGGCCCTGCGGAAGCAGCTGGAGGCCTTGGAGCACAGAAGCAGCTGGAACAAGACTTGCATCGGGCCTTCTCAGGGGAATGGCTTTGACCCTGAGCTGTATGAAGGAGGCCGCCGGGGCTATGGGGGCTTCAGCAGGTGAGGGGCTGTGAAGTCAGGGGCCCCCAACCTGCAGCAGATAGGCCAGCATCCTCCCCCTCGTGCCAAGGCCAGACCAGAGGCACCGCAGTGCCATCGTCCATTCCCTGTTCCGGTGGACTGTGTCGGAGCTGGGAGCCTGGTGTTCCTCCTATCTGCCGGGCTGTCAAAGACAATAGTGCCCCACCGGAGAAGTGTGCCAGGAGAACAGAGCCCAGGCCCAGGGCTGCTGACACCTAGCCTGTCCCCTAGGTACGATGAAGGTTCTGGAGGCAGTGGGGATGAGGGCAGAGACGAGGCCCACAAGCGGGAGTGGAATCTCTTCTACCAGAAGCAGATGAGCCTACGCAAGGTGAAGGGGATGGGGGCCTGGGATCCCCGTTACCAGTCGCTCAGCCCCTACCCTGGTGCTGGACGGGAGCCTGTCCTAGAGCTGAGCAAGATGCCTCATAGTCCCTTCCTGTCATCTTCCAGGGCAAAGACTCCAAGACAGAAGAATTTGTACCTCCAGGTCAGTACAGAAATGTCCCTGGGGGCTTTGGGGCTATTCTTAGGGTATAATGTCTCATTGGGGGCTGGGGACTCCAGAAAGCTGAGGTAGAGTGGAAGGACCCGCCCTCTCCCCCCAGATGAGGACTGTCCCCTGAAAGAGGCTTCCAGCAGGAAAATCCCGCGCCTCACTGTGAAGGTAAGCTGTGGACAGCGCCTCATACCGGCCCCTGTGCCTGCTTCCCCAACCCTGGGCTTGAGTGACCAACTTCCCTCCCTTGTGTAGGCCCGGGAGCACTGCCTGGGGCTTCTGGAGGAGGCTCTGAGCAGTAACCACCAGGCCACAGGTCCCACCCATGGGTGAGTGACCCGGGACAGAGGGGCCAAAGAGGCTTCCCCAAACCCCTATTCCTTGTAGACCACGAGAACCCCCATCCCTCCTGGCTTATTTGGGCCCCCCTCCCCCAGATTGTGACCCATCCTTCTCCTAGTGGTTGCAGATCTCGCAGTCCCAGTGGGGGGCAGGCTTCACCAGGACAGGGGCTGCCAGTGCCAGCTGGACAGTAAGCCCCAGGGTGCCTGGGGTCCAGGTGGGAATCCCTGTGCCCAAGGTCATGCCCGCTAGGCCCTGAAGTCATCTCCAGGGACCCCAGGGAGAATCCCAGGAGCTCCACGGAGAGAGGGCTCAGGCCCGCCTAATGCCTCATGCTCATTCCTACCCTCAGACCTGATCTCCAGGCCAGGGCTGTGGAGCTGGAACATGCCATGTTCCGAAATGCCAAGGCAGCCAACCTGTACAAGGCCAGCGTGCTAAAGAAGGTGGGTGCTGGGCAGGGCATGCTTCTGGGCTGGGGTGGGAGAGACGGCCCCTCCAACCTCCCAGGCTGTCTGCCTGCCCCCTGCCAGGAGACCACTTACCCAAGGGCAGCCTGACCTCCCTTCTTGGCCAGCTGGAGGTGCTTCCAGCCAGCCCCGTCGGGACTAGAACTTGGCCAGTGTCCAGTTACCTGCAGCCACAAGCCCCAGAAGCCCACTTTGGAAAGCCTGGGTTGGGGCTCTCAGGAGCTAGTGGGTGTCACGGCGTCCCTGCCTGTCCCTGACTCAGGTGGCTGAGATCCACAGAGCCTCCAAGGATGGGCAGCTCTACGACATGGGAGACGCTGCCAGGAGCCGCAGTCCGCCGGCCCGGGCCCCGGAGCCCACCGAGTATGACATCCTGCCGGCTTCCCAGGTGTACTCGGTGAGCAGCGTCCTGCCATCCACCCCAAACCTGGGTCTGGAAAAGGCATCGTGTCCTTTGTCCTCAGCCAGGGCACGGCCACTTGCCCTCTCCTGGCACCGCAGCCCTGGCCTGGGGTGCCCCGCAGCAGGCCCTCCAGCCTTCCTCTGCGGCCCCCACGGCTCCTCTGTCCTTGGCCTGACCCTCAGCCCGCAGTGTCCTGCCAGCTGTCCCTCCGCTCCTCCCGAGAGCCCGCCAGCTCAGCCGTCCTGGACCAGCCAGGGAGTGCACTCAGAACCTTTCTCTTCTTCACAGCCCAAACCCAGGCGGGTGGGAGCTGGTTTCCCCAGAGGCTCCTGCTCATTCCAGACGGCCACTGAGCTGATGGAGAAGACGTGTGCTAAGGAGCAAGTCCCCCAGCCTGTGCGGGAAAGTGAGCAGGGGCCCCCCAGCCAGCCCTGTGGCCTCCAGCGGGAGGGCTGTAGTGAGCCCCTCCCCGGGCCCAGAGGAGAGGCCCCTGGAAGCAGCGCTCCTTGTGGGAGGTCCTCCCCTGAGACGGTGAAGAGCTCGTCCACGAAGGCCGGTGCCAAGGCCCGGGCCAGCAAGCAGCAGCAGCTCCTAGCCGCGGCGGCCCTTAGGGATTCGCAGAACATCGCCCGCTTCTGCCAGAGGGCCAAGAGCCCATCTCCCCTCACCTCAGCCCCAGGGGCAGAAGGTGCCGGCCCTTCCTGTGAGGGAGTGCGGGGTCCCCCAGCAGCCCCAGAAAAGTGCTCAGGAGAGGAGGATGGAGCCCTGGGGTGTTCGGCTGTGCCCTCCCAGACCAAGGAGTGCACCAGGGAGAGGCCAAGGTAAGGGCCCTGATGGTTCTGAAATTCTCTGCCTCTTTGCTAACTGGGCCTTTGAAGCTCTGGCCGTTCCTAGGGTGCACTCTGTCGGGCCGGCTGGTTGGGGGTGCGATGGGTGGTGGGAGTGCTCATGCTTGCTCTCCCCTCTGGCCAGAGCCTGCACACTCAAAAGAGACCAGGACCCCCCTGAAGGCCAGCCCACCCCCTCAGAGGAGATACACAGGGGCAAGCGGTCCAGACCCCAGCAGGTACTGAGGAAAATCATCTCTTCTTACATCCCAGGGCTAGACGGGACAGGCTAGAGGGGGCCCAGTCTTCCAGAATGAGGGAAGGGGCCCGTGACGGGGAGCCCAAAAGTGACTCTCCACTCTGGTCCTGCACAGGAGAACCCAGAGAACCAGGCTCAGAAGAGGCCTCGCCCCTCAGCTAATGCCTCCATCTTAGCCGAGGCCAAGGACAGCATCTCGGCCAGCAATCCGGGCATCTTGAACCCCACAGTGCAAGACTCCTGCCTTCTCCCAGCCCCTGGCATCTCCCTCAAGGAGGCCGCAAATGTTGTGGTCAAATGCCTGACTCCTTTCTACAAGGAGGGCAAGTTTGCATCCAAGGTAGGGTAGGTGGGTGGGTTCTACCCTCCCCTGGGCCTGGGACACTTGGGTACCGTGGGGGCAGGGAACAGAGCCAGAGGACAAAGCAGGCTAGCCCTGAGATTGGCTGCCTCTCTCCCTGGCGTCTGCCTTGCCCCGGGGTCATGGCTGAGGGCCTCTGGTGTGGGGGGCAGGGCGGGGGTCCGTGCTCTTTGCTCCTGTCACCTTCTGCCTCCAGGAATTATTTAAAGCCTTTGCCCGCCACCTCTCACACTCGCTGACTCAGAAGGCCTCTCCTGGAAGGAGCGGTGAGTGCCCGCGTCACCAGGCCAGGAGGTGTTTGCGGGGCTTGGTGGCAGGGAGGGGACTGGCCCTCACTGAGGTTCCCCCTTCCCGAATCTGTAGTGAAGGAAGAGGCCCAGGATTTCATCAAGCAGTTTTTTCACGGTCGGGCCCGGTGCGAGAGTGAAGCTGACTGGCACGGTCTGTGTGACCCGCAGAGATGACCAGCTCCTACCCGCTAGGGCCGGAGTGCTCCCCCGCCTCAGCTGTGGGCCAGCCTGGGCCTCACTCAGGAACAGGGAGGGGGGAAGCCTGCAGCCGTCAGGGGCACCAGCTTTGCTCAGGGTCCGTGTCTTCCAGCCATGTTTGGAGATGGCCCCCGTCACCTCCCAAATCAAGGCCAAAGGCTGGAACTAACCACTTTCTGCTTGCAGGGTCCGAGGGCTTCCTCCTCCTAGCCTCCCTGCCTCTCTCAGCTGGGTTTTCTGAACCAGATCCACAGATTAGAAGGGGGCGGGGTGGGGGTGGTGGCTGCTGCCAGAGGAACAGGAGGAAAGAGTGGTCCCTCTGCCTCTTGTGGTTGAATTGTAGGCCAGGGTGAGGCCACCAGTCCAAGGCCCAGGGCCACTTCAGGAAGAGCCCTGCTGGCCTCGGGTTCTGGGCCCACTAGCCCTTTCCCTCATGATGCCAGCTTCCGGCCTGGCCCCAGGTGCAGAGCTCGGGAGCAGGGGAGCAGCTGGGCCCTGCTCTCTGCTCAGCTCCTGGTCAGGAAGGCTGGGCTGGACAGAGACTTAGCAGAGAAATAAAGTCCTGTTGGATTTGAGACACGCACGCCCACAAAACACGGCCTTTTTCTCTTGGGAGTTTTATTTTCTCACCGTTTGCTTCCCCCAGGCTTATGTGGTTCGTGCTGATGTTGGGCCCGGGCCTGGGGCCGGCTGGATATCCCCCTCGCCCAGCCTGGGCAGCATCAGATGCCCGAGCCCGTTCCTGCAGCCCGCACTCCAGCCCCTGCCCCGAGGGGAGCCCAGGTGTTGTCCTTCTCAGTTGATAGGACTGGAGCAGCTCCTGCCCCGTGGCCTCCACTGTGGCCAGCAGCGCTGTGCTGTGGCAGGTTCCAGAAGAGTCAAGTGGGAAAGTCCCAACCAAACTGGCCTGACAGCACCAAGGGAGACCTTCCCGTCGGGCTGGGATGTGGGAGGGGCCCCTTCCTCATCTCCTCCCCTCCTCCATTCCTCTTGGGTGAGGCTTGCCACTAGTTGGGAGCAAGGCTGCTGTCCCTCAGGAAGGCGATGGTGTCCTTCAGCTCCTGGGCCTGCCCGGGGAACAGGCCTGTGAGGACAGGGCCCCTCAGTGTGCCCCCACCTCTGCCCTGGGCCTGCAGCACCCCGAGCCATGAGCATGGGGCCTGGCTCCGGGCATGCCGGGCCTGGGTCAGGCACCCCCCGCCTTGCCAGGGTGTCATCAGAGGCCCCGGCCACTCACTTTCGGCAGCTCAAACCAGATGGTCCGGGGGCTGTGGGCAGAGCCATAGTTGAGCTCCAGGCCAGGGGCCCCCTCCTTCTCCAGGGGGCTCAGCAGGTGGAGCTGGTGCACGTCCTTCAGGGCGATGGAGCAGCACGGTTTCTGGGGCAGCAGAGACAGCAGAGCTTGGCCTCTCTCCGGGGAGGGGTCACCATGGGGGATGGGACAATGGCGCAGGGGCGCTCGGACCAGCACGGGGGCAGGATCCCGGCCCACCTGGTTGAAGGGGTCCAGGAGGATGAGATGCTGGCGGTTCAGGCCCAGGAGGCTGGGTCCAGGCAGGGCCAGTTGACTCACCCGCAGCACCACATAGACAGTGTAGCCGAACAGGGGCAGGCAGCTCACAGCCTCTGGGAACGGAGGGGCCGGGGTAGGCGTTCTGGCCGTTCATGCCCTGCCACCTGCCCGAGTGGGCCCTAGGTCGGGCGGGCCGGGCAGGTAGGGAGGCCTCCTCAGGCCCTCCACACCTTCCCTTCTGGGCCCCTTGCCTCGGCCCCTGCGACTCCGGAGCCCTGGACCCACCAATGAAGCTGATCTGGGCTTCTTGGGAGCTGCAGCCTCGCAGCTGCCTCAGCTCCTGGTACATCAGGTTCTTCACGGTGGACGCGTTCACTTGCGACCGCAGCGGCTTTGGCAAGTAGTCCAGCAGGTCTTGCCTAGGACACACAGTGGTCGCTCAAGGCTGGGTATACAGCAGGCGCTAAATGAATGAGCAGGGACTACTGTGGGTGAGATTGGGAATCCAGACTTAGGAATGAGGCATGGGCCCTGCCTACGAGGAGCTCGGTGTGGCGGGGGGTGGGGGGGGTCAGGTGTACGTAGCCTCCACAACTCCAGGCCCATGACGTTAAGGTCGTGAAGGGTGCAAGTCGAGTGGCCTTGGCACTGGAAGACTGGGTAGGGGCTGGGGAACTGAAGGAGAGGCCCGTGGAGTATGTGCTGAGGTGGGCCCCGCAACAGCAGGGACCGGGGGCGGTAGGAGGTGGGGGGCCGTGTGAGCACTCACTCCGCCAGGTGGTCCCCTTGGGCCGCGCTGCAGTGCTGCAGGGCGGCCAGCCTGGCAAGCTGAGCACTGGCCTGGGGGGTCACCAGCAGCTTCCCCTGCAGGTAGTCCCGCAGCACCTGAGGGGGGACGGCAGTGAGGGGAGGGAGGCCTGGCGGGCCCCTACCCGGGCAGGGCTTCCTCTAAGCTGCAGCCCGGGGTCCAGCCACCAGCTGGTGGGGGCCGCAGGGGGGTGGCAGCTGACCTGCATGTAGTGGGTGGTGGTGTAGGTGGGATTATCGAAGTGCAGCGGGATCTTCCAGCTGAGCCGCCGGCTGTGCAGGCTCACGTCCTGATCCACCACGCTGTTGAGGTACTCATGGGGCCACAGGGGCCGCACCAGCTTGCCTGAATGGGGAGCCCAGGTCCACAGCCCGCCCTGACGTCCAGGGCCAGTCCTGCCCGCAGTCCTGGCAGCCCCAGCCCAGAAACCTGCCCCGCTCGTAGGCATACAACCGGTAGGTAAGCTGCCTCCTGGAGTCCAACCTGTCCCCCCTTCTTCCCCAGGCGAGGGGCTCACCTTCCCTTTTGATGAGGAAGAGGGCAAATTCCTGCACCTCCTGGGGGTCTGTGATGCCCATTTGCTGACACAGGTCCTCCAGCACTTCCGCTGCCACCTGGGGCATGTGGACAGGGCCGTGCATGGTGGGGTTGTGAGGCTGGGGTGCGGGGGGTGCCCAGAACTGATGCCACAGCTTTCCTGTCTCTCCCCAGCCCCTCTCCTCTGGCCCCACGCTCACCGTGAAAGTCCGGATGCTGGTTTTGTAATCCATACCCCCCGGCAGGTGGATTAGAAGCGAGCGGACCTCCTGCCCTCTCTGCCAAGGCAGGTTGTAGAGTCAGCCCACCAGTGGCCAGAGCCCCCAACTCCCTGTCCCCACCAGGGAGTCCCATAATGCCCAACCTCCTGTACCCACCCCTGCCATACCAGGAGAGCCTGAGTCTCGCCCGGGGAGGGCAGCCGCGAGCGGCCCCCGTATTTGACTGTGCGCTGGAGGTGCTCTTGGCTTTTCCGGGCCAGCTCTGCAGAGGGGAAGTGGGCCGGGGTCACCGGCATCTCCAAACCCCTCCCCAAGCTGCCGAGACCCCAGCCTGGGAAGTCCCTCCCATAGGCACCTTGGCTCGGGCCCGAGTCCTGCAGAAACTTGGTCACGTAGGGCATCAGCGTGGCTGACGGGGGGAAGAAGCCGGTCAGGAGGCTGAGGAAGCTCCAGCCGCGGACACAATGTTCCCTGCGGAGTGGAGAGTGTGGGCTTCAGGCCAGCAGGGTCGGGCCCCTGCGCCGGCTGCCGTCCGCCACTCCCCCAGCCCCGCATACTCACGGCTGAGGATGTCTGGTCACCTGCTTGATGACTTGGCAATAAATCTCATCCCTGAGGTTCTTGTTCTCCCGGCACAGCTGTGGGGACCAAAGAGGGGGGCAGGGTGACACAGGAGCTGAAGTCAGAATTCCCACTAACGGGGCGCCTGGGTGGCTCAGTGGGTTAAAGCCTCTGCCTTCGGCTCAGGTCATGATCCCAGGGCCCTGGGATCGAGCCCCGCATAGGGTTCTCTGCTCAGCAGGGAGCCTGCTTCCCCCTCTCTCTCTGCCTGCCTCTCTGCCTGCTTGTGACCTCTGTCAAATAAATAAACAAAATCTTTAAAAAAAATTAAAAAGAAAAGAAATCCCACTAACAGCCATGGCTGGGGCCACCTCTCGGTCTTGGACACAGCTGTGTCCAACGGGTCACTGTCTAAGTCACTGTCTTCGTCCGCTTACAGGCTGTGCTCAACCCTGTCTTCTCTGCTGGCTCCCCTTATTTCCTTGACCTCCAGGGCCTCAGTGCCCTTGGGCCTCAGTCTACACGCCCTGCTGATCTCAGCTGTCCCCACTGCTGAGGACTACCAGTGCTGACCTCCAGCCCAGACTTCTCCCTTGAACCCACGCCCCCCACTTGGAAGTCTGGACTGCACACTTCCTATGTCCAAAAGACTTTCCTGCACCAAGCCAGACCTGCTCCTCCCTTAGGCCCCCGTATCGAAGACGGTCTTTACTCTGGCCAAGGCCTCCGTGACATCCTTGGCACCTCTCTGTCACACCCCACGTACAATTCATAGCAAACCCTGTTGCTCTGAGTCTTTTCCCCTCAGCTGCTACCTCTGGGCCTGGCCCACACCATCCCTCACCTGTGATCATTGCAATAACACCCTCTGGCACTTATCTCCCCCTGGGAGGGGTGGCAGACTGCGTCCCCTGAAAAAAGCCAGTCTCTCTGGAAACCCCCTTGAGTGACTGCCCACGTCTCTTGAGAAATCAGAGTCCCAATAGGAACCTATGATGGCCTGCCGTGACCTGGACCTGCCAACTCCCTCCAGCCTCATCCTCCACTCTGTCCTGACTCACTGGGCACACCGGCCATGCTGGCCTTGCTGGTGCTAAGGCCCACCGTCACCAGGACTGTCGCCCCTGCCCCCCTCTGCCTGCAGGTGATGCCCCCAATGCACACATGCCTCTCCCCCCAGCTTCCCTCAGATCTCTGCTCCAGGGTCGCCTTGTCACCAAGCTTCAGCATTCTAGCAGCCCCTTCCCTGCTGTATCGGTCTCCGCAGCACCTTTTACTCTTGAACACATTGTGTTGTGGTTTACCAGAAGTCTCCTCTCACTAGCTTGTAAGCCTTGTGGGGACTGAGCCTGCTTGGTTCACTGCCGTGCCCCCAGCATGTACTAGGTGCTCAAGAAATACTGTTGGATGATCTGAATGACTAGTGGCTAAGGGGAGGGGGAAGCCACTCAGGCCCAGGCAGGAAGACAGGAACAGACCCTCAAGGCACACATAGTCTCCCCAAAGCTTTCAGCACATGCTTACCCTCAGCAGGTCGTAAAGGAGCTCTACCTCGTTCTTGCCCCGGGGCTTAGACAGGTCCCCCATGAACCGCATCAGAGCTGCAGGATGAGAAGCTTGGTGAGCCGGGTTGGGGGCCTGATTTTGGCCCATGCTGTCGCTAGACAGGGCTTTCCCTGCCATCTCATGCCTTGCTCCCCAAAATGCATGCGAGCCAGGCAGAGCAGAGCAGTCTCCGTTTTACCGATGAGGAAACAGGGCTCAGAGAGGTTCTGTGGGCACCTGTGGCTACACACAGCACGTAGCCAGCTGGACAGAGCGCTGCCTTCCTGCACAGACTCCATGCAACCCACCACCCCTTGGGAGTGAGTAGAAATAGTGAGGCCTATGAGGGGTTCTGCAACCACCAGTGAGCTTCCCTGAGTTGACAAGGACAGAAGGCGACCTGGCGC